TAAAAAGCGTGCCGGCAGGCGATCTCCGACGGTTGTGGAGAATAGTGAGCCTTAAGCTTCTCCGTGATGTCAGCGTAGGTGACAGTCTTTATATCAGTTGGGGCCACCAACGACCTGGCTATGTCGAAGGTCCCCTTCCCGCAGGAACTCAGGAGGCATGCTCGTTTCTTCGCCTCATCGGTGATGTCGTGGGTCTCCAGATGGAACTCGAACCTGGACAGGTAGGAGTCCCAGTCTTCTGAGGAGGGTTCGAAGCACTCGAACTTCTGGCTTCCAGCCATCGTGGGAGACTTGGGCACCGGAGCTGGTGGCGCCTCCGCCGGATCGGCTGCTGTGCTCTGCTCGCTTTCTTCCGAGTCCGAAGTGTGGATGTCCGCAGGGCTGCCTACCTGCTCTAACATCCCACCTTCGTCGCCAATTGTTAGATCGCGCTAACAAAGGACTCTTAGAGTGATTCAGCAAGTGATTCAGCTTTATTGGAAGTAACGAGCAAGCACTAACTCAGTAAGAAACCAGAACAGAAAACAGTGGGAGCTTATGCTCCTTTTAAACATAACCGGGCTAATGTAGCCACGCCTATTTACAATTAACAACCAATGAGATTGCTAGAATAAAGACCAATGGGAGTCTTTCCCTCCTAGGGAATGGTATCGTTCTGATTGGTCGCTGTTACGAAGCGACCAATAGGAAGTTCGCTCAGAGGAGCCCTGGTCTGGCTCGAAGCTTAACATGGGAGTCCTATGAGGTGATTCATGTAATCATTTCAATACATTACAATTCCTCCCCCCTAAGTTAAGCCATCATCCCAATTGTTTTATTATTTACAAACATGCAATCAACCTTTGTACATCAGTTATTCCAACAGTATTTACACTCATAGTCCTTCAGATAAGTCGGCATTTGCCGCGAACGCTGGGACCTGCGGAGCGGTGCAGGCACCACGGGCAGACAAGGTTGTGGGTCAGAGTGGGGTTCACTACAGCCTGGATCAGGCACAGACTCGACTGGGATTTCAGCCCCGCACACAGGGTTCTGCCCTGACTCGGGGACAGTACCGGGCCTTTCGGTACTCACCGCCTGCTCTGGGGGTGTCCACCTGTGCAGGAACACATCCAGCCCGCCCTGAAAGCGCTGCACTGGCTGCTTATAGCATACCAGCAAGCCGCACAGGCCCCAGCAGGCAGGTCCCAGCAGCAGACCTGGCAGCCCCCCAGGGTGAAGCCAAGGTTGCCAGCCTCCAGGAGAGGGCTGGAGAGATCCCAGAATAACAACTGATCTTCATACAACAGAGATCACTTAGGGAGTGGATTCTAGGGCATTATACCCCACTGAGCTCCCTCCCCTCTGCAGCCTCCAACCCCCCAGGGTTTTTCCAATGAGAGAAGAAGAGAGAAAGGAAGAAGAGATTGGATGTATACCCCATGGCCCTTCACTACCCAAAGGAGTCTCAGAGCAGCTTACAATCTCCTTTCCCTCCCCCTCCCCACAACAGACACCCCGTGAGCTCTCTCAAGAACTGCTTGTGAGAGAACAGCTCTGAAAGAACTTATGACTGACCCAAGGTCACACCAGCAGCTGCATGTGGTGGAGTGGGGAATCAAACCCACTTCTCCCAGACTAGAGTCTGTGCTCCTAACCACTACACCAAACAATACAGAGTTGGGAATCCTAGGTGGAGCTTTGAAGAGCAAGGGGGAGTGACAATTGTTCCCTGGGTCATTATGGACCAGGTCCTCTGTCACCTGGCAGGGCTTGTCATGCTGCATCCTTTGGAAGACTCTGTTTCCTCAGAGATCCTGGAGTCTGCCTGCCCAGCGTCCCCGTTTGACGCCTCAGCTTTCCCTGACTGTCCCTGGCAAATCAGGAGGCAGAATGTTGCCTTAATATAACCAGAAATGCAGAGTCACTGTCACTATAAATTGAACCCCTGACATCACACCAACCCTCTAGGGAGATCATGCTTATAGTCTAATCTGAAGATTATCTCTGGTATTCATGGAATCAAGAATTGATAAACATTCGCTCTTCCTCTTGTTGTGCCGTATATAAATAGGAGACGCGGAGAAGCATACTGAGCATGCTGTACATTTTGTATGAGTTAGGCCATGGCTCTTTTGTGCTCCAATTTCACGGTTTAAGAAACTAAATCCCACACGTTAGGTAATGTGCAGGGCAGCTGTTTTTCTTGTTACTGCTGCTTTTTTAAAAAAATACATTCATCCATCCCATTTATACCAAGAAGAAAAAAATAATTATTTTCTGCTCCTGCCTCCATTGGTGTGAACAAGTCATCTTCCCATGGAGCCCTGCCAAAGTTTTCCAAGGGCATTGCTAGCTTTCCCTAATTTGTTTCCCCCCAAATATATGCTGTCCAGGCTATATTGCCCCAAACAGTTTTAACACAAAATGATTTCACATGGTGATTCATTCACGGGGAAACACCCTTCCCAGAAAAACCCATCAGACCAGCTCCATTACTTTCTCCCCGGAAAAAGAGGGGATGTCTCAGCACATTGTCATTACTGTCTCTATGATTAATATAAGGAACTGTGGTTTTGCTGGGTAATAACAGCCGAAGGGACTTGCAATCTGAGACATGACCCAGTGGAAGGAGGGACACCAGGAGGAGATGCGGCATGCCCTGATACGCAGGGAAGTGTGGTCTGAGGGGGAACGGGATCTCCACGTGTGGAAGAGTGGGCAGCAGCTTCTGCCCACCCCTCACCCTCTAACAACTGTGGACTTTACACCCACCCAATGCTGCTCCTGATGACCCTGCTAATCCTGGGGAACAACATTTCAGGGTGGCTCAACGGGCTGCAGCAAGAGATGGAAGCAGGAAAACTGAACTCCATGAAGAAACTCTGTGGATGGTTGGATACGCACCACTGGGATCCCCCCCCCCCCAGTTATTCTGTGTTATGAAACTGTGGATTGTGGCATACTATGTTTATTTGTTTCGGATGTCAAACTACATCCAGTCACCCGCCCTCAGCCTAACCTACCTCACAGGGTTATCATGAGGGTAAAACAGAGGAGAGGAGAAGGATGTGAGCTGCTTTGGGTGCCCCCCCTCCCCCCCCGGGGAGAAATAAGGTATGGCTCTCCTTTGCAATGACACCTTGAAGAATCTCTAAAGCCAACTGGCAGAGCAGAAGTGACAAAATAAAGAATAAATAATGTAAACACGATTAAGAGCCCTAGCATAAAAATAGAACACATTTTACAAATAGCAACAAAAATGCATAAGTAAAACATTTCCCACCACTGAATAGCAAGTACTAAAACTGGATAACCAAATAGCAACAAACTAAAAACAGGCTAATTTTTTTAAAAGAGACAGTAGCAGATACTAGATACTAGAGATACTTGCCGATGCAGTGACATTAAAAAAACCCATTCACTCAGTTCACCAAAACGTAAATGAAGCTGAATGGGCTGAACAACTGCCAGGAGGGTAGTCTACAACTAGAGTTGCCAGCCTCCAGGTGGGGCCTGGAGATCTCCCTGAATTACAACTGATCTCCAAACTACAGTCTGCCTCAGGAGGTGGTGGAGGCTCCTTCGCTGGACGTTTTCAAGTGGAGGCTGGATGATCATCTTTCGGGTATGTTGCAGGGCTCTCTTTTGGCTCTGCTCCTGCAGAGTGCAGGGGGTTGGACTAGATGACCTGCAAGGTCCCTTCCAACTCTAACATTCTATGATTCTATACAGAGATCAGTTCTCCAGGAGAAAATGGCTGCTTTGGAGGGCGGGCTCTATGGTATTCTACCCTGCTGAGGTCCCTCCCCTCCTCAAACCCCACCCTCCTCAGGCTCCACCCCTCAAATCTCCAGAAATTGTGCCTGTCTCAATAGTGTAAATTAAAGCAATAAATAAATAAATAAATGGTGTAACAAAATGAAGCAGTAGAAAAGAACAAGAGTCCAGTAGGACCTTAAAGACTAATACAATTTGTGTCAGGGTCCTGAGTCACTGTACCTGAAGAAGTGAGCAGCGACTCATGAATGCCCTGTACCCTGCCACAAATTTTGTTAGTCTTTAATGTGCTCCCCTTTTCTGCTGCTACAGACAGACTAACATCTATCTCTGTGGAAAAATGAAACAGAATAAAATGCCAGTTGATAGGATGCAAGTTCTCTAACACCAGTCAAGTCTTTTAAAGCAGCTTGTACTAGTAAACCTCTTTGGCTGATATAACCTGACTTCATGGTTTTAATAACACAAATGGGCACAGTTCAGTGTTCACTTTCTCTGTAAACTGTTGTTTCATATGATGAAACCAATTTTATTTCTACTTGGAGCAGCATATATTGGAAAAGCAGAATATAAAATATATTAAATAATAAATACATGTGAATTATTATGTCCTTATGTGTTTGTTTGTCTTCCTGCCTTTACAGAATACAGGAAACAACCCATACACCCATTTGTTTCCCAATTGTTCTGTTTTCTAATACTGATCCTGGAATTTGGCCTCATAAGAAAAACTTAGTTTTTCAAAGCTCTTGGGATCAGTAAAGGTCTCTCTTGTTAGTTCTGGGTTCTTTCTTGCCTCTACAGAAAGGCACTCGCTAATACGAAGGCTGCCCTGGTGTGTTACCCATGATTATTCCACGGATCCCATCAGGATCGGTGGGGGAGGTGCTGCAGAAGGTCCCAGGTTCAATCCTCTGCATCTTCAGTTAAAAGGACCAGGCTGGAGGTGACGTGAAAGACTTCTCTGCCTGAGACCTTAGAACAGGGGTGGCCAAACTGCAGCTCTTTCACACAGTCCAATTTAATGTTAATAAAAAGCAATTTTGCCTATTTTCCAATAAAAATGTGTGTGTGATATTTGCTCATGTCTTGCGGCTCTCAAACACCTGACGTTTATTCTGTGTGGCTCTTGCATTAAGCAAGTTTGGCCCCCCCTGCCTTAGAGGGCTGCCGCCAGTTGGGGCCCATGGCCTGATTCCATACAAGGCAGCTTCATGTGTGTTTCTTTGTCTTCCTTCCAGGTGTTCCTGACTGAATATACCGGCCCTCTTCTAATCTATCTGCTTTTTTACCTCCGTCTCTCCAGCATTTACGATGCGAAAGAGAGTGCCCGAAGTGTCCGCCACCCCATTGTTCAGTGAGTAAGAATCGTCCACACTCAGAGAGCGGCTGTGTGGAAAGAGGCCTGCCATGTCAAGCACAGCCTTCCTCCGATGCCAGGCCCACCACACTGGGATTCTGCCAACCCTGGTTAGAGAGATCCCTCTCCTAAATTAACTTTTCCAATTGGAGAACTGGGGTAGGGGGGATTCAAACCAATAAATGTCAGCACCCTTGTGGACAGGCAAGCAAAATGTGACATTGCTTCATAAAGGAAAACAGACACACATTCAGGTGTTGTGGTTTTCAAGGTAACAAATATTATCACAAACCCAACAATTTTACAACTAGAGGTAAGACTGAATGATAACGGCTGTGAAGAGAGCAACGAGAGCAACTTTTGTATAGACAGGATGTTCAGTGCCGTTCAGAAAAGGCACTCAGGACAAAAGCAAATCCAAGCAAATAGGGCGAAATAATGCAAGGACAAGAGGCCGTCCAAAATGTTACCCTGAAGAAGCGCATTTGCCCTTTCAGTAATGGCTCTTGCTGCTGCTGTGGCGGCACTGGATGCTTCCTTTCTCTGGCAGGGACAGGCCGGCAAAGAAATTCTCCCTTCCGTTTGGCTCCAGGCCTTCTCTCTGCTGCTGCTGACTGAGGAAGTGGGGCTCTTGCAGTTGGTAGTAGTCTGTCACTTAATCCAATTTTGAAAAGTTTTTTTTAATTTCCAGCTCTGTGTGACTGCTTTGAAGGTTGGAAGAGCTGCTGGGGAAATGGGGTGTTTCACCATTTCCTCCAACGCTTTCCCTAAGATCTGAATCACCTCTCCAAAGGTGGAGAAAATACAAGGTTTTGGGTGCCCATCTTTTCCTGCAAGGGTCACTACTGACTTGCAAGGGCAGCAAAACGAAACGAACAGAGACCAACTGTCACTGGAGGGGCTGTTATGCCTTGTTTTGAGGACAGGAGTTCTGGCTGGAGACCCACGTTAGAGTCTTGACATGGGATCGTCTGTGAGATTCCAAAGTGAGGAGCTTTCACTCAGAGACGAATCCTTGCAAAATTATTTATCCGGGGTTTGGCAGGGTGTAGCGATTAGAGGGTTGGACTGGGACCTGGGACCCAAGTAACCTTTCCAAGAGGCCTTTGCAACACGAGGGGGTGGTACTGCAGGGCAGGGGGGCAGCCAGTGTAGCCCATCAAAGTCCCTCCTCATGCCTTCAAGGCAGAAGCGGCATTTGAACTAGGGACAGTCTGGGTCAGAGCCAATGTTCCCTCTAAACTGTGGAGTCTTGTGAGCAAAAATTCTACTTTGTGAGCCACTGGCATTAAAGTGGCGAGCAAGCAATTTGGCTACTGCATAAATTACTTTGCTCTGGAGCCATCCTTCCTGAGCTAAGACAAAAATGCGTGAGCCGGAGACTAAAAAATGGTGAGCTAGCTCACATTCAGCTTAGAGAGAACACTGGTCAGAGCTCAGTGGCTCCACCTTGGTGCAGCTCAGACTGAGATTTTAGAGAGGGCTGTATCGAGCGTCCTTCAGGTTTGTCTCTCTTTCTTTGTCCTCTCTCCAGCCTGGCCTGCATTTGCCACTGTTTGCATTACCTCCGACATCTTCTAGAGACGCTTTTTGTGCATAAGATTTCCGAAGGGCACACGCCACTGAAGAACCTCATCAAGGTGATTTTTGCATGTCCAAGATGACGTGACTGAGCTTTTTTCAGTTCAATGTGCTGAGCACACCTGACACCTCACCTGCCCAGGGTCTCAGCCAGTGTGAATAAACACAGTTTCCTCTTCTGGACAGAACTCCTGTCACACAAACCGAACACCTCCCGAAAGTCACGGCCGTTGCCTTCTCTGCTTTGTATGGAAGGCAGGAGGTGTTATGCAGGTAATGAAACAACTGTCATCAGCCCAGCTGATGAATCTTCCGAAAACTGTATTTGGGAGGCCATCAGATGAATGGTATTGGCACATCAGTTTTAGAAATGACCTTTACAAAGAAGGGAGGAGGAGGAGACGGTGTGGAGTGTGTGCGTGGAAGTGAGTCAGAGACTTCCTTAGACAGCTGCCAAGGGCGAAGTTTCATGCCAAGAGACAGCTGAGGTTTAATATATGGAAAGCAACCAATGGTCGCATGCTAGTGGTCCTTCTCTGTCCATCGGCAGAGCGGCACGGAGCCCTTGTTTCACGGTTGCATCTTGTAAAGCTACATTCTGGCAAGAAGCCAAGCTGTGGGTCTGGGAAACCAACAGAATGGGCAGGAAAGACACTGAACACGATGGCATTTGGTCAAAGAACATTACGCTGATCCATGAGGAGGTGACAGAAACAAAGGCTGCCAACTCTGGGTTGGGAAGTTCCTGGAGATCTGGGGATGGAGTCTGTGGGGGGGCATGGGTTGGGGAGGGCCTTCAATGTACATATGCCATATAATGTAATGCCATAGAGTCCACCTTCCAAAGCAGCACTTTCTCTGCCGCCTGGAGCTCAGTTAAAATCCAAGGAGATTTCCAGGCCTCATCTGAAGGACAGCAACCCTACAGTCACATGTCCCTCAGCAAGGCCTGACCTTATTGATTCTGTGACCATCCTTGTTGTGGGGGCAGGGGTCTTTTTGTAGAAAAAGAGCTGCCGGAGCTCATTAGCATAACTCGTTGGCATATGCCACACCCCCTGAAATCACCGGAAGTGTGTCAGAAGGCCACACCCCCTGACATCACTGGAAGTGTGTCAGAAGGCCACACCCCCTGACATCACCGGAACCTTTTGATGACTGGTTTTTGTTTCTTGTCCTTGGCCCTTTCGGTTTGTTGGTTATGGTCCAGCTCCCCCTCTTCCTGTCACATGACTCTGATATCACATCCTGGGGTGCTCCTTTGTGAGCGATTGGCATTAAAGCTATGAGTGAGCAATTTGGCTACTGCATAAATTAGTTTGCTCTGGAGACATATTCCCTGAATTAAGACAAAAATGTATGAGCCGGAGGCTAAAAAACTGTTAGCTACCTTGCACTTAGAGGAAACACTGGACAAAACCCAGGTGCCCTCAGGAGGTCCACCAGCAGGGCCAAAGCTCCAGGAGCCCTCCCACTCTTGCTCCCCAAGCACCAAGAATGTAGAGCATCACTGCACCAGACATAAGAACATAAGAGAAGCCATGTTGGATCAGGCCAGTGGCCCATCCAGTCCAACACTCTGTGTCACACATCAGCCAAAAATACCAGGTGCCGTCACACATTGCCCAAATATACCAGGGGCCCTCCGGAGGTCCACCAGCGGGTGGGGGCTTCCTTCTAGCCACTCCCAGTGGCCAGAACGAAGGAGGGGGGATTGGGGCTGGATCAGGCAGGTGGCCCATCCAATCCAACACACTGTGTCACACATTGCCCAAATATACCAGGGGCCCTCCGGAGGTCCACCAGCGGGTGGGGGCTTCCTTCTAGCCACTCCCAGTGGCCAGAACGAAGGAGGGGGGATTGGGGCTGGATCAGGCAGGTGGCCCATCCAATCCAACACACTGTGTCACACATTGCCCAAATATACCAGGGGCCCTCCGGAGGTCCACCAGCGGGTGGGGGCTTCCTTCTAGCCACTCCCAGTGGCCAGAACGAAGGAGGGGGGATTGGGGCTGGATCAGGCAGGTGGCCCATCCAATCCAACACACTGTGTCACACATTGCCCAAATATACCAGGGGCCCTCCGGAGGTCCACCAGCGGGTGGGGGCTTCCTTCTAGCCACTCCCAGTGGCCAGAACGAAGGAGGGGGGATTGGGGCTGGATCAGGCAGGTGGCCCATCCAATCCAACACACTGTGTCACACATTGCCCAAATATACCAGGGGCCCTCCGGAGGTCCACCAGCGGGTGGGGGCTTCCTTCTAGCCACTCCCAGTGGCCAGAACGAAGGAGGGGGGATTGGGGCTGGATCAGGCAGGTGGCCCATCCAATCCAACACACTGTGTCACACATTGCCCAAATATACCAGGGGCCCTCCGGAGGTCCACCAGCGGGTGGGGGCTTCCTTCTAGCCACTCCCAGTGGCCAGAACGAAGGAGGGGGGATTGGGGCTGGATCAGGCAGGTGGCCCATCCAATCCAACACACTGTGTCACACATTGCCCAAATATACCAGGGGCCCTCCGGAGGTCCACCAGCGGGTGGGGGCTTCCTTCTAGCCACTCCCAGTGGCCAGAACGAAGGAGGGGGGATTGGGGCTGGATCAGGCAGGTGGCCCATCCAATCCAACACACTGTGTCACACATTGCCCAAATATACCAGGGGCCCTCCGGAGGTCCACCAGCGGGTGGGGGCTTCCTTCTAGCCACTCCCAGTGGCCAGAACGAAGGAGGGGGGATTGGGGCTGGATCAGGCAGGTGGCCCATCCAATCCAACACACTGTGTCACACATTGCCCAAATATACCAGGGGCCCTCCGGAGGTCCACCAGCGGGTGGGGGCTTCCTTCTAGCCACTCCCAGTGGCCAGAACGAAGGAGGGGGGATTGGGGCTGGATCAGGCAGGTGGCCCATCCAATCCAACACACTGTGTCACACATTGCCCAAATATACCAGGGGCCCTCCGGAGGTCCACCAGCGGGTGGGGGCTTCCTTCTAGCCACTCCCAGTGGCCAGAACGAAGGAGGGGGGATTGGGGCTGGATCAGGCAGGTGGCCCATCCAATCCAACACACTGTGTCACACATTGCCCAAATATACCAGGGGCCCTCCGGAGGTCCACCAGCGGGTGGGGGCTTCCTTCTAGCCACTCCCAGTGGCCAGAACGAAGGAGGGGGGATTGGGGCTGGATCAGGCAGGTGGCCCATCCAATCCAACACACTGTGTCACACATTGCCCAAATATACCAGGGGCCCTCCGGAGGTCCACCAGCGGGTGGGGGCTTCCTTCTAGCCACTCCCAGTGGCCAGAACGAAGGAGGGGGGATTGGGGCTGGATCAGGCAGGTGGCCCATCCAGTCCAAGAACGAAGGCCCCACCCCCTCCTTCGCTCTTGCCGCTCGGAGTGGTGAGAGCGAAGGAGGGGAGGTTGGGGCCTTCGAGGGGGTTGGGGCGAGAGTGAAGGAGGGGGGTTGGGGCCTTCGTTCTCACTGCTCTGAGCAGCGAGAGCGAAGGAGGGTGGAGTTGGGGCCTTTGTTCTCGCTGCTCGGAGCAGCCTCGGATAGGCAGAGGGGGTGGGGGTAGGAAAGCCTACTTACCCCCCTGCTCCATCCTCGTTCTTCAACAGAATGAGGCTCGAAGCAGAGGGTGGGATTAAGAAGGGGGTGGGGCTTCACCATGTGTCCGCCCTGCCCCCCCGAGCATCTCTTCCGGAGCGACGTACCAGGGCGCTCCGGCAGGATGAGAGGCCTGTGTGGGGGTAGCCCTTTTTCACTGGTGGGGGAGTCAGGGGTCAGCAAACGGGAGTCTGCTACCGGGGGGGGGAGATTTGGCTCCAATTGTCTGCTTATTGCTCACAACCAATGTTCCCTCTAAGCTGTGGAGTCTAGTGAGCAAAAATTCTGCTTTGTGAGCTACTGGTGTTAAAATTGTGTGCTAGCAATTTTGCTACTTCATAAATTAGATTGCTCTGGAGCCATCCTTCCTGAGCTAAGACAAAAATGTATGAGCTGAAGGTTAAAAAATTGTGAGTTAGCTCACACTAACTCAGCTTAGAGGGAACACTGCTCACAACAGCTCAGGGATGGGGAGGAGCAATTGCTCTGGCTGAAAGCCAGATCCACTGGTGGACCTCCTGATGGCACTGGTATTTCTGGCCACTGTGTGATACAGAGTGTTGGACTGGATGGGCCTTTGGCCTGATCCAACATTGGCTTCTCTTATGTTCTTATAAGCTGGTGAGACGCCATAGTGACCTCGGAGTTGCCTCTACAGGGCAATAAAATGATGCAGACAGCCAATGCTGAGTCGATATGGCAAGCAATGCAGACGGAGATTTGTGAGACGATTTGGGACTGCCGGCACAGCGGCAGGACAGACCAATGCAGATTGGACCTCTGTCAGGCATGGAAGAGCAGAGCAATCCAGGCTGACATTCAAGCTGTGGAAATGTCCTGCCAGGCCACCAACAATGAGCAAGGGATACAGGACACAAGAGCTCCAAGCGCCCTGGGTGCAGTGGGGGAAGGGGCGTTATTTCATCTCTCCCCAGTCATATCAGTGCTTTGGAGGGAGGAACTTATTCTGACATTCTCCACCCTCAATATTATATCTGTGTTCATTACAGGGCTGTACTTTTTACTGGGGATTCACGTCTTGGATTGCTTATTACATCAACCACCCACAGTACACTCCTCCATGTAAGTAGCATCACTTTCCTTAAACGGGACATTTTATTCAGGATTTTCAGAGTTCCCTCCCAAGATATGATTATTAGAGAACTTAGATTATAGAGAACTTCTAGCACGTTTGGCAGTTCTTCAGCTGAAAGGGAAGAGAAGGAAATTACTCTCCCACACTGTCCTGCCAAATGGCCACTGAGAGACTAGGCAGGGATCTAGCAGGAAACCTTAGGCTCATCCTGCACACTCTAAGATGCAGCATGGGGTCAGTAAAACACTGAGACCCCCCCCACACACACACACTGAGAAGTGAACTGGGGAAAGGTCTCAAGATTCTGCAGTCCACGCAGGACTTTTGGCAGAGTAGGATGACTGTGGGGAAATCGGGGACTGGAAAAAGCTTCCAGACGAGATGCTTCCCTCATTCTTGAAACTAGGCTCTGTACCTCAGATATGGAAGTGCCCAGACACTCACGGGGGGGGGGGGGGGGTAGACAGGGTGAGAGAAAAGGATTCAGGCCTATCAAGAGTTCCTCAAATGTCCCCAGAAGGCAGCTTCCCAGAAGTGCTAATTTCCCCCTACAATGAGCAGCTGCAGGAGATGGGACGGGATACATGCCAGGGAACATTCTCAGTCCCAGGGCCGCAGTGGTGGAAGAGCTCTAGCCAGCCTGACTACGTGTACGGTTGCCAGCTCTGGGCTGGGAAATTTCCAGAGGCTGGGTGGGGGTGGGGGTGGAGCCGGTTAAGGGCTGGGTTTGCGGAGGGGAAGGATCTCAGCCGGGTATAAGGTCATGGAGCCCACTCAGCAAAGTAGCCATTTTTTCCCATGGAAACTGATCTCTGTAGTCTGGAGAGATCTCAAGGTACCTCCTGGCAGTTGGCAACGCGAGGGCTGGATAAGGGTTAGCGTCTCTTTCAGAATCCACAGGGTTTCCACGGTGGAGATGCAGGGGTTTTCCAGTTTTCCCTTCCCAGGGTAGTCAGTTTGAAAACCACCGGTCTATACAAAAGCTGTGTCACATTTTACGCTGAAGTTAACAACAGAGAGAGATGTATTCTACTCAGTTTTATGGCTTTTGAATGCAAAACGTGACTCGGTTGTATCCAGCCACCCTTTTTGCTTCATCTTCCTTGATCCCTCTCCTTCCCACAGCCCCCAGCCACGCAGGGCTGTTGCCCAAGTGGGTCTCATGACTCCCCACAGAGCCTTTTTGGTGGTCAAAGGGGATCCCCTCCTTACTTCTTCACCAGCAGAAAAGCTGGTCAGACCCAAGTCCGTGGTCCAGCTCTTATCCAGCCATGGTGATTCTTATTTATGGTGACTAAAGGGAACCTTTGCATTCAGAGGCAGAGGCAGTCGGCCTCTAAATCCCAGTGCCAGGAGGCAACATCAGGGAAGGCCTCAGCCTCTTATTGGGCTTCCGGAGGACCTGGCTGGCCACCACGTGAGACAGGATGCAGGACTATATGGACCCCACTGGCCTGATCCAACAGGACTCTTTGATGTTCTTATGAAAGAAGGAAAGTTAGAGTAAGGGTACCTCTATCCCTTTTTCTATTCTTTTCTCAAAAAAAAATCACTCAAGAACTGTGCTTTCCCCTCATCTGCATAATTTCATCTTCAGTGTAAATCTTACCAGTGAGTATGGATGCCGGCCTTCAGAATTCCCCAGAATTACAGCTCATGTCCAGACTACAGAGATCAGTTCCCCTGGAGAAAAAGGCTGCTTTGGAGGGTGGACTCCATGGCATTGTACCCCTGTCCAACCCAGGCTCCATCCCCAAATCTCCAGGAGTTTCCCAACCTGGAGCTGGCAACCCTAACCCTCTATCTCCCACTGGTGGGGGGGGGGGCGCTGGCAACTCTACCAGCATGTCATTTATTCACCACCACCCCCAAACTGTTCAGATGGATACTCCTGGAGAAGGTTCACTATAACCAGACAAGTTTCCTTGGGAAATCTATGGCACAATACTCCACATGTCTGTCAGAAGACTCAGGGGCGACATTTGAGAAGTTAAATAATGCATGGAAATCCACATGCTCCATGTCTGAATTTAATCTACCTCCTCTGAGCTTATATGACAGACACACCCACTAAAAGCTCCAGAAGGGTCTCAAGCGGTGCCAGGCCTGTGTAGGATATTTGGTAGCTCAGAGAAAGGCCGTGGCAGAGGCTACACTGAATGTACAAGTAATGTAATATTTCATTATGTTTTCTAGCATTTGGGAATAGGCAAGTGACTTTTGCTGCCCTTACTTTTCTGGTATGTATTTGGGCCGTATACATATGATTATGCAAAATGAGCTGTACACTGTGTGTCACTTTGCATTTCCTCTCCAAACAAAAGAGGGGAATGGGATATCTGGCCTTGCAGAGAGGTTTTGGAGAGCCTATCCTCCATAGAGGGGCTCAAAGCTGGTTTCCCATCCAAACCATCCAGGACACTGACTGGGGTGACCTGGGCCCCGGTACCTCTTGGCAATGGGGGGGGGGGAGACTTACTGACAATGGGGGAGGCTGTCAGACCCCTGGTCAAGAGACTCCCAACAACACTCTCTTTGGCAGTGATTGTTTATTGAGATATCAGCATGATCCAGGCTAGAACAGTACTGTGTCAGAACTGAGATTCTGGCAGGAAAGTCCAAAGATATAGACAGTTCAAACAGGGCCCCCTGGGGAATAACCAATCACACTCCGCAGCTATCCTGCCTAGCTCTTGCATTCACTACCCCCCCCCCACACACAGGAATATATGATCCCGTCATCTACAATAGCAAGCTGGCACAGCTTCGGTCTCAAGGTCCTTCCTCTAGAAGTAATGTATATTAGGGAAGAGTTAGGACACCTATGATAGAGCAGTTCACACACACAGAGAGCCATTCACTCCCCCTGTAACTATGGCAAACTAAGCAGAGTTTGACAGAGGCCTAGGGTTGACAGGTCTGGGCTGGAAAATACCTGGAGACTTTGGAGGTGGATCCAGGAGAGGGTGGGGCTTGGGGAGGGGAGGGGCCTCAGCAGGGTACAGTGCCAGAGAGTCCACCCTTCCAAGCAGCCCTTTTCTCCAGGGGAGCTGATCTCTGTCAGCTGGAGATCAGTTGTAAAAGCGGGAGATCCCCAGGCCCCACCTGAGCTCTGGCAGCCATGTCACCAGTGATGCAACAATGCTCTGGTAATTGGGCAAACACTTTACATTGGAAGCTGTCTTTACCATAGAGTTTTTGCTCTAAATACCAGAACGCCATGGCTGAAACACTGAGCTAGGCCTTCCCTGCAGCCGGGAAGGATCCCTACTGGCAAACTGACTGGTGGGGGGGGCAGAGTTTTTGGGTGGGGGATCCCTATTCCCAGCAAAGGATGAGCAACCCTAGGTGTCCACATGCGGAGGGTGCTGCCATTGTCAGCTGCCTGGCATCCTCTCCTGGATCTGCACTCCCACTAGCTGGGTACAAGCTAAGGCCCAGGCCCAAGAGGAGGTATTTGTACTTCGCCTGAGGTGAGAAATTACCCACTCTGGGGATGCTGATGAAATTCTCCCCATTCAAATATCTCCTTATCCAAGTTAGATATATCCAAATTATTGGGATCCTGTTTCCACAGTGGCATAGTGGGGCACCATTCTTCCATTTCTGACTCTCTGACTGTTTAATTGTTGCATATGTATGCATGCATGTATGAGCTGATAAAAACCACAGGAATCCTAATGTGAGGGTACAGACATGCGGATAGTCCTTTTTGCACCGATGCACAAACATGCTGGGTGACATCAGTAATTTCTATTAAATAGGCTCTTTAACAGGAAACTGCTATAAACTGGGTGTGCCCCCAACCGGAAATTAGTTTTCGGAAAATACCCAGATTAAATGGGAATGCTGGATCAGATTGCAAGGGACAGTGAACCCAGCTCTGGTGGGCTTTTTGCTTTTTGAGGTTTTTTTGGTCAAAACTAGGTATATCACCAAAAAAATTATGATACTCTGACACCTTTATTTTTTACTTCAAATTTTTATTGTTTCCTGTTTTTTTCTTCATGAGCAAATGTTATTACAACAATAACCTTCCCCAGAAGTCTTCCAACCCACCAACCATATCCCAATTGCATCAATTTTTAAACAAAAATTTGTTTTTTTGCTTGAAATCCTCATTTTTGTTCAGCTTCAAATCTGTTTGGAATTAAGTCATTACAGATGGCTATGCATTCTGAATTTGCTTCGGTTTTCATTGGATAATCTTTCTCACTGGGGCCAGCCAGGTATTGAAATTATTATGTAACAGCCTGCAAATTTAACAGAAATATCTGACTGCAATGTTTCTGCAGATTTGTGAAGCTGGGAGTCATTTCATCAATGTAGCTCTAGTCCATCAGAATCAATCAGGTTTGTGATTTTTATTTTTCAGTTGTTTTTCCTTTTCCCCTTCTCTTAAAATTCTGTCTGGTTAAGGTGGAGATCCCCAGTGGTGCAAATTAACCCTACTGCAGCTAATTTCACTTGTTCTGAATAGGGATGCATGAACGTATTTTATTTTGTTTCTTTATTAGTTTGTTTTTTATTATTGTTGTTGTTGGCTTTAGAATATGATGTTTTGTCTTCTTGGTTTGTGAATTTGTATTATTTAATGCACGTAGTCTTTCCACATTTCATTTTGGTGTCCCTTCAGTGATCCCTTTTTCCTGCCCAATGTTTTACTTGTTTTTATATGTATTTTATCTCTGCTTTTAATAGTTTTAATGATGTGGGGGTTGTTGGTTTTAAAAAGTAATTTTAAGAAGTAACTTTATTATGCATTTTTAAAATTTGTTAACTGCCTTGGTGGCTCTTAGGAAGGCAGGAAGGCAGGGTATAAATTTTGTAAAATAAATAAAATGTACAAGGTTGGAGCATAAAAGAACTTCTGCACATAATCAAAATGCAGCTAAATTTAAGGGTGTGTTTAGCCCAACTCTTCACAGAACTGAAGAAATGTTCCTAGCACCAGGGAAACCCAACACTGAAGAGCTTCACCAAAAGGATCTTCTTTGACTAAGCTCCATGAACCTTGCCATTCACGTGTGTTTATTTATTTATATTTATATTCCCACTTTTCTCACCAATGGGACCCAAATATGCCTTACACCATTATTCTCTTTTTCTTCATTTTATCTTCACAACAAGCCCCCTGTGAGGAAGGTTAGGCAGAGAGTGTGTGATTGCCCAAAATTACCTAGCAAGTTTCCCTGCCAGAGTAGGGATTCGAATCTGGGCCTCCTAGATTCAATCCTGCAGTCTGAACACTACACCACACCCCTACAATGAGCAGAAGTTTGACTGTATTTACTTAAATCCAAGACTAGTTTTTCCCCAGGGATGCCACAAAAAGGGGGGGGGGTCATCACATACAGCTTACAGTTATGTCCAATAGTAAAAATCTTTTGTGTATAACTTTTTTTTGGGGGGGGGGTCATCTTACATTCAGCTTCAGCTTCCTTCTGAGAAAATATAGCATTTTCTCTCCTCTTGCCCTCAGACCCACACTTTGAATCTAGCAAGGAATGCATTTGTGCAAACCAGGACCAATTTCCCACAAGCAGCTGCGCTGCCCTCGCTCTTCCCTTTCCCCCTATTGTATTTTTCTGTTTCCCACTACTTGCTGTGCGGCCGCATTTTGACCCGCAGCATCCCCCAATTTCCCTCGCGTCATCTTGATCCTTGTTTTTTGAGATCGAGAAGATTCGGGGGATGCTGCGGGTCGAAATGCGGCCATGCAGCAAGTAGTGGGAAATTGACAAATACAATCGGGGGAAAGGAAGAGCGAGGACGGTGCAGCTGCTTGTGGAAAATTGGTCCTGGTTTGCACAAATGCATTCCTTGTTGGATTCAAAGTGTGGCTTTAAAAAAAACAACCCTTTAGGGAATACTTGTCCTGCTCCCTTGGAGACAGAGTTTATGTTCTGGACTTGGACTTGGAATAAACTTAATGTCCCTATAGTAACACTGATAAACAAGAACTGTTTTTAAAAATACAATTTACCCCAAACAGAAATTAAAAAAACATAATAAAATACAACAAAAGTTGCAGGTTTACAGATAAGCATCTATATCCATCTGTTCAAATGCTGATAAAGTTGTAAAGTCCTCAATCCTTTGGATTTCAGTATTGTAATAGAAGACTTTTAGTAACAGTATGGGCACAGAGAGACTAATTTCATTGATGATCAGTTAGTCTCTGTGAGTTTAATACTACATAATCATACCCAAAAAATCAATTAATATTCTAAGACAAAAATGATATTGGTAATTGCTTTCTCCCAAAAAGACTGGATAACTAGACAGGCTCAAACCATATGTTTAAGAGACATGTCTCTTGTTGAAACACAGGTGCATGAAGTAACACAAAACAGCAACTGTCTTAAAGCTAAGCAGGCCTGGGACCAGGTGGTCCTGGGAGGAGGACAGAGTCTGAGGAGGGCAGAGCTTGAGGAGAAGAGGGAGAATGGCAGGGATATGATATAGTCCACCCTCCCAGACAGCCATTTTCTCAAGGGGAATGGATCAGTATGATGTGGAAATCCTAAAAGCCCAATGTACTTTCCGGCTCTCCCATTGGCTGTGCTGTGCACTCCATCAGCCATTGGCCCACAACCGCCACTCTAGAGTACTCGAGTCCCATTGGCTGGGTGTTGGGTCCGCTCCTCTCCCCTGCCCACTGCCAGCCTGGCCACTGTTCCCTGACAGAATAAACTGCCAAAACGGCTGTCTCTCCTGACAAAGACACTTCTCCTGCTTGGCGTGGCTGGCTACCGAGGTGGGCCAGTGACCATCAAATCATTCTCTTCTCCTCCTGCTGTGGGGCTAACTTTTCCCTCCGTGGCTGTTAGGCAACCAAGCTTGGTTCTGTTAGTAAAAAGACAAAAGCAGAAGGCTCTTTCCAGGCCTACTTTGGCCTTTTTAGGGAATTCATCGGGGCCAGTCCTGACTTGAGTTGCTAGCTGCAGGTTTGGAAATTCCTGGAGATTTTGTGGTGGAGTCTACGGAAGTCAGAGTTTGGGAAGGGGAGAGGCCTCAGCTGAACAGAATGCCATGAAGTCCACCCTCCAAACAGTTATTTTCTCCTGGGGAACCATTGCTGCCAATCTCCTCTGGAGATCACTCCACTGGAGATCACTCAGAATTAAAACTGCTCTCCAGATGGCAGAGATCAGTTCCCGTGGAGAAAACGGCTGCTTTGCAGGGTGGATTCTGTGTCATTATACCCTGTTGAGGTCGCTTCCCTCCTGCTTGGGTCCCCACTGTGGAGAAAGACTGTACTTTCCTAGGTAGAAGCTGCAGGTGGGGAGGAGATGGAAAGCTGAAGTCAGAGGGGCAGATAATAGTACATTGATGGTTGGCTGGGAAGGAGATAGGGTTACCAACACCAGTATGGGAAATTCCTGAAGAATCGAGGGGTGGATCCTGGAGAGGGTGGGGTTTGAGGAGGGGTGGGACCTCAGACAGGTAAAATGCCATAGACTCCACCCTCCAAACCAGTCATTTCCTCCTGGGGAACCATTGTTGCCATTCTCCAGGTGAGGGCTGGAGATTACTCAGAATTACAACTGCTCTTCAGATGGCAGTTCCCCTGGAGAAAACACTCCAATGTTCCCTGTAAGCAATGTTCCCTCTAAGCTGTGGAGTCTTGTGAGCAAAAATTCTACTTTGTGAGTTACTGGCATTAAAGCTGTGAGCAAGCGATTTGGCTCCTGCATAAATTTGTTTGCTCTGGAGCCATCCTTCCTGAGCGAAGACAAAAATCTGTGAGTTGGAGGCTAAGAAACTTTGAGCTTGCTCACACTAACTCAGCTTAGAGGGAACACTGCCTGTAAGCTGTGGAGTCTTGTGAGCAAAAATTCTACTTTGTGAGCTCCTAGTATTAAAGTTGTGAGCGAGCAATTTTACTACTGCATAAATTACTTTGCCCTGGAGCCATTCTTCCTGAACTAAAACAAAAATGTGTGAGCCAGAGGCTAAAAAACTGTGAGCTAGCTCACACTAACTCGGCTTAGAGGGAACACTGCACTGGACTCTGTCATTATACCCTGCTGAGGTCACCACAGCAAAATGACAATAAGTGCCCAAGGCCAGGGCACCTGCTCAGAGCCTCTTTCTAGAGCTCATTGTATTTATTTGCACAACAGGCCTGTAACGATTCCTTGTTTTATGAGAGTATGTGTGCCTTGAAATCCTTGGTTGAAGTGCATGGTGTTAGCAGACTAGAATGATTGGGAGAGAGAAATGTGCTGTGATTGGTGGATGACAGAGTGTGGGAGGGGTTTTTGAAGTGAATCTGTGTGGGTGTGTCAGAGTGTCAGTTATGAAAGACAGTTAGGAGAGTCAGTTAGTGAGAAAGCAGTGGAGTTGAAAAAGTTCAGTTGATGTTGTTCAGAGTGAGAGTTCAGTTTGTTCTGTGTGGTATCTGAGAGAGAGAGCAGCATATATCTTCAATAGTGAATCTTTAAAGTTCTTAAAGAAGTTAAGTTTACGAAGAGATTAAACTGTGTGGTCGCCTAAGTGAGAGATTCCTGTCAGGACTAAAACTGGCAGAGTGTGTGATACAGTTGACAAATATATTTACAAGAACCTTATTCCCAGCCAGTTACACAATAACCAACCTCTTGTTTTGTTCCTCTTTCAATAAATCCTGTTTTATTTAAATATATCCCAGAAGTCATATAAATTCTTCCTCAGGACCACATTAGATCCTTGAAAGCCTAGATCCCGTGTTACAATACCAACAGCAGAAGCAAAGAGGGGATTTGGAATTTATTAAAATTCCTGATGGCAGCTGGAACTATCTATTTTGTAAAGACAAAATATAAATATTAAAGAGAAATACAGTCCTCCCCAATAATAGGACGTCACAAGGCCTTATTCCTAGTTATAATTCTGGGAGTTCTCCAGCCCTTACCTGGAGGTTGGCAACTGTAGTACAAGCCCTATCCCTTTTATGGTAATGTGACTATAATAACTTGCATAAAGTGAAAAAAACCCCAAGCCACACTTCTCCACCCACCACCTGCACCAAGCCCTGCCAGCCCTATTGAAAACAAAGCAACCCCTGAGGTAATCTGCAATGGTGTTGCTGAGGCTCCTCTGCCCTGTAGTCCTCCCCCTCAGACCCTGTCCGCTCTTTTAGAAAACTCAAACTGAGCAGGTTTTATTTTACTGGGAAGGGAAGGATGTTTGGCACTTTAAACAGTTTTAGCATTCTGTTATCCAGCTGATAGTCAAGGATACAGTTTCTTGCAGCCTGCACGGGGAACTAGTAAATTCCATGATCGTGCTGAAAATCAGCCCAACGGTCCATTTTATTCTGCCTCTGTGAGTTCCAGAGACCCTGATTCGCCCTTGCTTTCAGTGTTGCCAAGAGGGTTCAAATGGGATTCACAATGAGGGCAAAAGGCAGGCCTGCCTCTGTTCCTCACAAGACCCCTGCTGTGGATTGTTATTTTATTCTGGTTTTAATTGGAAAATATTTTTAACTATTATTGTCAGTTGCTGTGAACCATGAGGAAAGGTGGGATATAAACATTTCAGTCACTTGATAAATACATTAATAGTAGGACTTCAAAACCTGTGAAACCTGTTTGTGACAGATAGC